GCTGAGTTTCCCTTACCCTCCAAATCTTTCTCCCTTATAGACTACCCACTATGTTTCAGAAAGTCTGTTAGCTGCTGGAGTTAGTAAAAAATAATAATTGGCTCTTGCATTCAAGAGAATGACTACACAAATATTCGTTTTGTATTTTATGAATTCAGCTGACTTTCCTGCATTATAATCTTTTTTCAGTCTAGCTTCTTATAGGGGATTTTGAGAGCAGAGACTGAGTAAAATTTAACTCAAACTGTCACTAAGGTAGCTCATTTACTTTCTTCTCATACTGGTTGATTTATTTAGTCTATTCCCAAATAAAGTGTGAGGACTAAAGAGCTAAAAGAGATAAGGATGCCCAGAGCATAGATTATGATCAGAAAGCTTTGAGTATAGGTGATCATGGTCTGACATGTTTTTCAGGATACAGCCAGGAAGCTGCCTCTCCTAATATTTCAACATGTTTAGGAGCTTGTACAGCTTAGAAACAACAAAATGAGAATTATAGTAGTGTTGGCCTTCTAAATTCTGTTTGCTAAGAAGCGTTCCAGTCAATAATTTTTTTCATGTTTCTTTTAATATGTGTTTAACCTGGTTCTTAACGCAACAAAAGTGGGAGATTTTAAGCTAAGTAATACAAAGATTGAATTTTCCCCCCTCCCAAACATTTCAGCTATCAGGGCAGAGAGGGAAAATGAAAATATTGGGCAAAATTCTGTAGTGTTTTGCCTCCAGGGTTGCTACCACTGGTATTTTACCAATTACCAACTCTCACTCACTGAATGCCTGCAACGTTTGGTGCTGTAGTGAACAGAAGATTCAAAAAACATGGGCTTTTAGAACAACAGTTTCACCTGCCAACATGCCAGTTCTCTTCTTGGCTGTACTTTTTCTTAGGCCTACTTAATTTTATGAGGTACACCATTATAAAACCATAAACTGATGCTCACCACACTTTAATGGTCTAAACCACGTTTCAAAAAATGCTGAATTAATTGCAAGCATTTAATAATTGAGAAATTGCCCATAAAATCTAGGCTTCCAGCTTCTCTTTGAAAATCGAAAAGTCTGGCAAATCTGGACTCACATCCCTGTGTGGCAGCCATCAGCTAAACCCTAGTACCAGCTGCTTCCTGAAAGACCAGCCATTTGGGCTCTAGTGTCTCCCCAGCTAACTTTCCTGATGGTACCTTTCCTACCAGGTCCCTCCAAGGCAGTGCCTGGCTCTGCACTAGGATCATGTGAGGAACCTCAAGAGCTATCAATGCCTGTGTTCCAACCTCAGAAATTTTGATATAACCCATCTGGGTTGCAGGCCAGACAGTGGAATTTTTATCAGGGGCCCAGGCAATTCTAAATGTGTAGCCACAATGGAGAACCCCTGTCTAAGACAGAGCGTCTCAGTTTAACTTGCATATTAATCACCTGGGATTTTGTTAAAATGAAGATTATGATTTAGTAAGTCTGGGATAGGGCGTGGGATTTTGCATATCCAACAAGCTCCTAGATGAGGCTAACGCTGCTGGTCTGTGGATCGCTCTTGAGAAGTAAATAAAGCTCTAGAGCATTTGCCTTTTTTTTTTTTTTTTTTTTTTTTTGAACCCTATAAACTACATTTAGATTTCAAGTCTAATGGAAATATATTCTGGCACTCACATTATTCAAGTGGCTGGAGTGATGGTGGCAAATGAGTTTCCTATCAGTCCTCTTTGGGGAGGGCCTTTCTCAGGTTGCTGTGGCTACTGAAAGCCTTTCAGAGTGCTGGGGGCCTTGCCTCCCTTAAGTTTAACTTCTAAAACACCTTTACTATCATCAGTTGTACATGACAATCTCCTGTTTGGGAAATTGTACATCCTCTGAAATATTGAGCTCCTTGGTGGTGACACCACCTGCCAGCCAACAATTTGGCCGATATTGATTGAACTGTGGTGTTTGTGTGCTTATTTGAGCATTTTATTACAGTAGTTTTCAGTCTGTATTCCTAGATGCTCTAGGCCTAGAGCAATGGTTCTCAAACCCTAGCATGCATCAAGACCGCTTGGAAGGCTTATTTAAACAGATTGCTAGGCTCCACTTCTAGCATTTTTGATTTAGTGAGGACAGAGAATTTGCATTTCCAACAAATTTCCAGGAGATAATGATGTGGCTAATCTAAAGACCTGGTGGTTCTCTTGGCCTCATCACATGACTTCTTACAACAGTTGCATTTTGGGAGTTCAGATAAGATTTTATTAAAGAAAGTGTTTTGCTTTTTAAGTTTGAATACTGCTGTTTTGTTGCCTTTTATTATTTCATACAAATCAATGGAAAATGAAAAATGCTAATATTAGTGATTAGGGGGCAGGTAGCAATTTACTATGGATGAAACAAAGACTGAAATTATTCAGTTTATGGAAAAAGAGCCCAATTGTCCTTCCATGGGACACTCTTTGGACTTATGCTATGTGTTCCAGTATGATGGAAAATAAAGTACTGAAGACTATCTAAAAAAGGAAGCTCAATTAAGGATTTTATGACGTTTTTAGGTTTGAGGAGAAGAGAACCCCACTGTAGCACTACCTAAGTTCCTTTCCAGGAACTCTTCATGTACAAAAAGAGGAGGCAGCTGGTAAGGTTTCTTCAGACTCAAGCCTAAAGGAAATACTGTAAATGTCACAGCAGTTACATCTCAGCTTATTGGATTGACTCAGTAATTTTACCATAGGCAGAGACAACTCATTTTATTTATAAAGCTCAAACAAAATATGAGGCCCTTTATTTCACATAGTTGGTGGGAAAGATGTAAGAAGGATGCTTGGTAAACTTCCTATTTACTTTGATAGTGGATTCTTAGGTAGCTGTCTGCTTCTGCATCTCCACTTCAAAAGAGAGACGTGTTGAAATAATAGAAACGCCAGTGCCCGAATAAACTAAAGTAGAACTTTTCCGTTAGAATGTGAGTCACCTTTAAAAATCATATTTTCTAAGGACAGTCAATAAATTTCAGGATGTTCTTTCCTCTACTTCCAACGCCTACTGGAATAAACCACCAAATTCAAAGTTTGACAAAAGTCTAAGTGCTTAGTTTTGTTTTGTTTTTAAGTAATATTATTGCAAGGAAATTGGGAAAGAGCTGTGAAAAGGCTTTAGGGCAAGCAGACTAGGCGAGTGCAGATCTCAAAAGTGCAGAAAGAGGAGTCTGGGAACTTGTTAAAAGCGGACGCTTACATGTTTTAATGGAAAAGAGCAGAAGAACACCAGGTGATGGCATTTCATTCTACCAATCAGTGGAAGGTCTGAACCATGAACCAACATCAGGTTTTTCTTGAACAACTTAAGCAATGATTACGAGTTGAAGAATCTGCGTTTGAAGACGAACAGATTTATGTATGGGAGAATGTAATTCACGTGCGCTTCCTCCAGAGACCCCATGAACGAACAGCTAGGGGGCCACCGTCTGCCTGAGCGACCTACATTTGCTCCGTCATCTCAGGACTGGAAGGGATCAGCCAGCGTGCGCTCTCATAAAACTCTCTTCCGTCCTCGGGGACACGCCTGGCTCCTGGTGGCGGCGGTGCCAGGCTCTTGGATTTCGCGGCAGGCTGCGGGCGCTTGTCCCTCCGGTTCACCCTTTCACCCCTCCTTCATCCCCGGGCGTCACGCGGGGTGGCGTGGTTTTTCCGCCCACCCCCGAAGCTGTGCTGGCGAGACCGGGAATTGCAGGGCCTCCCCGTTTTGGCGAGCCCTGGAATCCAAGTCTTCCTGCCCCAGCCACTGTGCCGCGGGCGCTGGAGGCTCGAAGGAGGCTGGGGTTTGTTTCAAGACTCTCGGTTTAGAGACGCAGCCTCTAAGTCTGAACTTGTCCTCGACCTCCCCCAGCCCCGCCGCCTCTCCTCCCGGAGACGCCCGGCAGCAGGTTGACCGTCGGGAGGGTGCAGACCCAGAGCGCTCCACAATCTAGGTAGCGAGCTACCCGGCCGCCCAGGGCATCCCCGCGGCGGGGGCGGAAGGCTAGCCGGGTGACAGGAAGGGTCCTTAGGACGGGAGCTCCGCCCCTCTTTGGCCGCCGGCTTGGGGGCGGGCACCCAGAGTGGCAGCGGCCGAGGGCGCGGCGCCAGCGGAGAGGGGCGGAGACGCGGGCGCTGGTTGGCGCGGGCTCGGGGGCGGGGCCCGAGGGGTGGGACCAAAGGCGGAGCCAGTGCCGAGCGCTGGAGCTGCAGGCGCACGGAGAGGAGTCGCGAGCAGCTGGAGCGGAGTTGGAGGAAGAGCAGCTGCGGCAAGGCTGCCAGGCAAGCGGGTTGGAGACGGCGAGCTCGGATAGGGAACAGCGGTGGGTTGGAGCTGGGTTAGAGGCGCGTCGGAGCCGTGCGTGCAGGAGGCCGCCGCTGCAGCCCGGGCCCGGGAGAGGAAGGAAGCCTGCCGGCTGGAGAGGTAGGCGGCGGCAGCGGGTCCGGGTGCGTGCGCTCGAGAGGGGGAGGCGGTGCGTGCGCGCGCGGCTGTCGCCACTCTCTTCCTGTCACCAGCAGCCGCTTCTCCTTCAGCAGAGCCGAGCCGGGGGAAAGCGACTGGCCGCCGGTCCTCCCCGCTGCCGGCATCTCCCATCCGCGGGACAGTTGGGGGCCTCGCTCGCAGCCAGCGTCCTGCGTGCTGCCGGCCACCTCCTGGCTCCCGTTTGCCCAGTCAGCTTCCGAGCTGGTTTCTGCACGCCGCTGAACGCATTCATCCCCGGAGTTGCAGGCGACCTTGGGCTTTTCCCCAACCCTCCGTCACCGTACACTTATGAGGGTCCCCACTGTCGCCTTGCTGCAGTTTTTCGGGGCCCTTCACCAGAGGAGAGTACTCTGATCGCTGCCTTTGCGTTAGTGGAAAGGAGCGATGCCTTCTTCCGCGCCCTCCAGCTGCAAGCAGGGTCGCTGGGCCGGCTCTTGCCTGGGCGGGCGGGGCCGCGGTGGTCCTCGGAGCTCACCCCCAACCCCCGCCTTCTGAAGTTTTCCTCCCTCCTCTTCCGGGGTGGGGGAAGTGCGCCTTGGGGCGGCTGCTCCCTGGGGCCCTAACTCGGCGTCTAGTGCCCACCCGGCCAGTGCAGGTTGTTGGAGACGCGTTTAATAGGGTCTCGAAACAGCCCGGAAATACAGCTTTTTGCCGCGCGGGGCTAGACTGGTGGGATTTGTCCAGCAATATGGAGCCGGCTCGGGAGAGGAAGAGCTTGCAAGCCGCCTCTGAAAGATCGTGGGGGAATTGTCTGGAAACCACAGTTCTGACACTCACTTCCCAAGGACAGAAACTGCCCTGCAAATCACAAGACAAAGAGAACAGAAAAGCTCAGGCCAACCACTTCAGTCCAGAAATGTACTTTGGTAACCAGAATTGGAGTATGAAATGTACGGATGTGAGTGGAATGGCTGTTACATGTTGAATGCAGAAATGTGTATGAACTGAATTGGGGGAAATTCTTATGCTTCCCCGGGTACTGTTAATATATAGGAAAGGTTTCACTTCCATCGTTAATCCTTGGTGGAGCTGCAGTGATGTTGGTATCAGAGTCTGAGTTTACTCTTATGGGGGGTTTTATGACTAGAAGCGATAAGGTTTTTTTTTTTTTCTTTTCTTTTCTTTTCCTCTTTGTCAGTCAGTGCGAGCGAACAGTTCCGGGTTTTGAATGCCTCATGAGATTGTCCTTGCAGTGTGATGAGGTGCAAGTTTTAGTTGTTAGGGGGTACATTCACAAAGCTTACTGACCCAGGCTTTATGTGGAATTGCGTTTTAATATTTCATCAGCTTGTGTTGCATTTTGGCAGCTTTGAACATGCTGAGGTATTAGCTTAAAAAGATTGGAGTAGTGGACAGATTGGATTTCGAGGCAGGCTATCAGATCAGAGTATTGCGTCTTCAAGGTGTAAATCATTGGGAATTTGGTAACTTATGCACAGAAAGCCACAAACATCTTTTATTGTTGAAAAATAAAATAACCCCCTCACGATAATTTTTGACAGATTACACTGTTCTTGAAATAAACAGTCCAAAAGCAGTAGATGATAGTTTTCTTAGGAACAAAAGTTACTTAAACTTTGGGAAGCAAATGATTTGGTGGTTACAAGGAAAATATCTCAAGAGTGATTCTTTGGGGGCATCCCTCTAAAGTTTGGGAAGGTGTGTTTGATTCAGAATCAAAGTTTAAACTAAAAAAACCAGTGAAGGAGCCCGTCTGCCTTGCAGAAGTGTTGGGTTATATCACTGCTGGCCTCTGCAGCTTGTGTATGCCAGATGCAAGTAGGTATTAGAGTCATACTTTTTTCATAGAATGTATAGATTTTTATGATTGGAAGAAAGTTTTAGGTTTCTGATATTGGCTTTCAAACTGTCACGTGCACTTGTTTTTTAACTTTCATCTTGATTTGGGACCTGTTCTTGTCAGTTGCATAACAGAATTCTGCACTGTACACTACTATCTGCTTTTTTATCTGCTTTTCGTAAAACGATATCACTGTCTTCACATCTATGATGCTGATAGCCAATGTAAAAAAGCATTTCACTTCCCATTGATTAATTATATTGTCTTTAGCTACTTCTTGAAATTTAAATTTATTAAGATCAGGAAATCCATGCGGCATAATGTTGGTTTGGGGAAACAAGTGATACAGTAAGTTATAGGTGATCGACAGCAGTGATGGTCGTATCTGCTGGGAATGTTAATCGCACAGCTGATTTTAGGAGTTTAGTACCTTAAATGTAGACATATTCCACTTAACTCAAATTTTGTGTTGTTAAAAGTGTTGACCATACCTTTAATCAAATTTTTTCATGAATGCATGTAATTTTTAGGTTAGTATGTTGGTTGAAATTTTCTTTTAGGTAGTTTAGGGGAGTATTCTAAAAAGGCGTCCACTCTGAAAGATTGTCCATATGCTCAGTAAACAGGAACAGATCTAGTTCAACTTTTATTGTGTTTGCCTTTTGAAATTTGCAAAATGTGTTTTATTGAATGAAGAGTCGGTGAATAAACACTTTTAAAAACAATTTATGGTCAGGTAGAATATAGAAAGCTGAGATATAGAAAGCATTTGGGTTTTTACTTTTAATTTTCTCACATCTGAATCATACATAATGCAGAAGAAAATGGCAAGTGCTTTTTTCAGTATATTCTACATTTCAGACAGGCTTCCCATAGATCTCCCTCTTTTGGAAGGCAAAGGGATCTGCCAGTGAAGGCAAGAGAATGGAGCATCTCAATGAAGCCCTCAGAATGTGAGAAAGTTACTTATGACTAGAAGGAAGAGATTATCAATTTCGTTTTTTACCTTAGAAGGCATAATATAAATTATGAAATACCTTTTAACTAATAACTTGGGTTATAATTAATTTTTTAAATATTCGTATTATTTATTGCTTTTTACCCCTGTCTCCTGCACCTATACCTGTCATAAGATTACTTGCCACAATTCTGCCAACACTCTTATTGGAATTACTGTCTAAAAGAGTGGTGATTAAAAGCCATTTTATGTACATTATGCCAAATGAACTGAAAAATAGGCTGTAATTACTCATAAACTTGTCTGTTTGGCTTATATTAGTTTTTCTTTCTTTCTTTTTCTTTTTTTTTCTTTTTTGAAAGGGTAGAATGAGTATACTATAAATTATGCTTAAAAAAAAAAAACCCTACTGTAAAAACATCTTTGGAGATTTTATCTTCCCAGCATTGTTTTCCTTAAAGTAAATCAATACATACTGACAGGCACCTGTAGTCAAAATAATTTTCAGGTTAATGATCACCCCCAAGATTATTTAAGTAACAGGAGTCTGGCAAAAATGTAAGCAACTCCACCAGTGGATGGAGTGAAATAATAAAGCGAGGTGCCTGGTCCATTGTGTCATGCCCCTTGCCTTTCTCACTGGGCACCCAATGGTCTGGACTCAGGGCTCAGCTCTAGGAGCTAGAGAATTGCATTAGTGCTGCCATCTTTTCTCACTGAGGGCAGCTAGAGAGCAGCTACCCAACCCTGTTGGAGAGGAGTTGTCCCCTAACTTCACCTCCTGCCTGACACCACACTCACACACCCTTGACTCCTTCCCAGTCTCCTTTGGCCCGACCTCTGCTGAGCCACTCTGTCTAACTTAGACAAAGAACTAGATGGTCAAAGTCCACACTTTGTCTTTATCTATCTGTGTATTTACTCTGTAAAGGAGTTAGGAGACAGCAGAGATTTTTTTTTAAATTTTGCCTAGCTTCAGGATTCATTTAGAACAGTTTGCAGCACTTAGAGGCATTGAAAAAGAAAATTTTTTGCAAATGTTCCTGTTTCAAATGTGAATTGTAAAAATGACAGTAAGTGCATTCAGTGCTACTAATAATAGTAGTAACAATGGTAATAATACCATAGCTGCAATTTACTAGCTATATAACTTCAGGCAAATTATTTAACTTCTCTGCTTGTTTTCTCATCTGTGAAATGGGGATAATAATTGTACCTGGGGTGGTTGTAAGGTCTGAGTGAGCTGATATATGCAAATCTCTGAGAGAGGTGCCTGGCCCATAGTAAGCACTGTGTTGATTTTAATTATATTAAGCTCAATTATCAAGCATGGAGCTCAGTGCTTTATATATCCAATTTCATTTAATCCTTATAATAATCATTTGAGCTGTAGGTTTGCTTTTTGAATCTGCCTCACAGATGCTAAAATTGTGCCCCACAGAGGTTAAATAACTTGCCCAAGGTTAAAAATCTAGGCACTGATGGGGATAGCTGCTGGAGTCTGAAGCCGAGTGCTTGTACTAATCTTGTTAAGAATTTTACAAAATAGCATTGTTTTTTAACAAAAGGAGGGACTTTAGATTATCTACTTCAGTCTTCTCATTTTATGGCCACATCTTCAGTAATGATGCAGAGAACCCGAATGGACTCTTTGGGGTGGTAGGATGTTTCTCAGGCCCGGGAAGCCGCAGCGTGAACACCTGCATCGTCCTTTCTCCTTGCCCCTGGGTGATGACCTCTGAGACTAAGAGCTGCCTCCTGCTGGGCCTGGATCTCTTTCTCCTCTGCCCCTCCTGCAGTGAGTGCTCTGGCACCATCCCATCACTTAGCTTTCTGGAGAGCCCTGCCTCCTTTTTTCACCTGGGCTTGTCCTGTCCCCCAAAAGGGCTTGCAGACAGCAGTTATAATCTAGACACCCTGCTTCCTTCCCACAGCACGGACTCAGCCCTGAGCATGGCAGCGGACAGCATATTCTAGTTGGCTTGAAAATGAGTGGAAACATTTGATGACTTTGACTTCAGGATTAATCTGATCCTATCATTTTTATTTTGTTTTAATTGAGATGAAATTTGTATACCATAAAATTTATCCTGAGCCCATCATTTTAGGTTGAAATTCATTGTTTACTAGGAAATTTTAACTTTAGTTCAGTTTGATTTTCATGATTACCAGAACACCATATAGGAAAAGTGAAAAGATTTTTAAATTATGATTTTTGTTTTTTAAAAACGATGTGAATTTAAGTGGGGAGCTTGCCCTAGACTCAGAGCTAGAACACCGAAGACGGAGAGATGGAATATAGAGAAGAATGGGCTGGGGGCCCAGGAACGCCTCCATAGCCTTTGCAACTGAAGACCCATTTTGTGCTGGGTCCCCGTGCCAAACTGCTAATTTTATCATGGGATAGAATCATATGATGAGGATATATTCTTGATTTATTTAAAGTGATTTTAAAATATCCTTTATTCCTGCCTCCCACCAAGTTTGCTAAATCCTCGTTCTTTATAAAACGGGAAGGAGTAAGTCAACAAAGTCAGAGAACTTTTCAAAGAATTTTGTTTGAGTCTTTGCCAAAATGCCTGCAGGTTAGAGGGTTAAACTGAAATTTTACTCTCAAGCAGTTGTACGTTAAGAAGTCATGGTTATTTCTTGTCAGGCATCAGGCATTATTTTAAGGAACAGAATGAGAATTGCTCACTATCTTAGCAGAGAGAAGAAATACACTTCTGATTAATGGTATTGCAGGTCTTTAACTGGATTGAAAGACAAGAGCAAAATCATTTCCTTTAAGGAAATTTTGAACTGTTGCATACGATGTTATATAAGTTAATTTGTTATTTGTTCATAAGATTCCTTTATAAAGACCCTTTGTTATAGTAACTTTACGTATGTACTAGCTTGGAACCTAGATATCAAAACTGTCTTGGTTATTTAGAAACATTAAATTGTAGATGATGGACATTATCCACATATAAAAACCTTTACTTTGTGAATAATTATATTAGCTCTGGGTGGAAATAGTGCAATGGACAAGTGTTCATAGCCAGAGAAATTGGAGGTGAAATCTTGTGAATCTGGGCAACAAGCAGCCTGCCAATCTGGATAGTTTAGGCTTCATTGATCTCAGGAGGGTTATAGAGACACTGCCAATGCGTTGGGCTGCTGAGTTTT